GGTCCAGTTCTGGTCACCAGTACTAAGAAAAGATGTCCTTGAGTTGGAAAAAGTCCAGCGAAGGGCAACCAAACTAATTAGGGGTATGGAGGACCAGAGCTACGAGACGAGGCTACTAAATTTAAACATGTTCACATTAGAGGTGAGGAGATTAAGGGGGGATATGATTTCCATGTACAAAATGTTTAATGGTGGTAGCAACATTAGCGATAAACTGTTTAAAATTAACTCCGTTACAAAAACTAGAGGCCATCACCTAAAATTGGTGGAAAAAAAATTCCAGCACAAGGGGCGAAGGGGGTTCTTCACAGTAAGATCAGTTAGGGTCTGGAACTCACTGCCACAGGCCGTGATTTCAGCAAAGAATGTGGAATTGTTCAAGAAACTTTTGGACGATTTCTTAAGGGACCGTAATATACAGGGGTACAGGTAATATACAGGGGTACAGGTACTCCTAGAATTAGATCCTAATAGGTTGGACTTGATGGACTAATGTCTTTATTCAACCTCAAATACTATGTAACTATGTATGTAACTATTACTTAGTGTCAGCTGCTGCTCTATAAAAGGTATAAAAGTGCAGACGTTTTAACCCTATTATAACCCAACAGTTAATGAATACCTGTGTTCCTCGATGGCTGAGAAAGAAATAAAAGCTAACGCGGCCACTACATCCAAGAACAGGAAACCTGCAGTATGTTACATTTTTGCGCTTAGGATTAGCTACTTTTTAACTGTAACCATTTGTATAGATATGCATCTGTCAATGTTACTTGGACACAGATACCTGCTGTTGCGTGGACTTACTTTGATGTGTTGTCTGGCTCTGTGCAAAAGGCTAAGTGTTGTGTGTCGCGATGTGTCCACACTCAGAGGAACTTGCTGCTTCAGTTGTTCCAGGCATCTCCGCAGCTGTGCTCTCCTGCAATCAGAGGATGTATCTTAAGCATACTATAGCTAAACGCTGCAATATTCAGTATTCAAGGTGCACACACTTTTCTCATTTTAAAAAAAAAGTAGCAATATTTATATTTCCGTAATAAAATCACACTGTAGTTATTGGGAAATCACAACACTCTGTATAAAAACACTCTTTTGTGGTTCTAAATGTCACAGAGAGATTCACACAAAATCAATCATCAAAACACAATAAAAAACAGAATTTCTTTGCAATATCCTCTCTTCCTCTGCAAGCATTTAAGGTAGCTCCGAATTGCCCACTAAGACAAATATGTACCTTCAGCCCCGATCCTCACTGAGCAGCCCCATTTAGAGCTGCACAGCCTGTCTCCCAAAAAACAGCTGCTTTGTAATGCACATGTGTGCCGCAGTCCTACTTCTCCCCAACCGTATTATGAAAACCGTATTATGGCAGCCTCCAGCAGTCACTTGGAGTACAGCTTTTCCAAAGTGGGATGCACTCAGGGCAAATTTGTTAAAGGACAAATGTTCAGATGTCCTTTAAGGCAACATTAAAGCAGCCACCATAATCAGTTTATAGATGGGAATTAAAAGTAAACATGGCAGAATAATAAATATGGAAGCTGCCATTGCTGGCTTGGTTTGTAAAGGCACAGGCTTCATAGCGGTCATCCTCATCCTGAATGACCTGGCACAAGCATGCTACCAGTGGTGCTCTGTTCCAAGTCATTTACTCATTAGATAGTAAAGCCAAGAATATGATGGCAGCCCTGAAGCCTCCACATATAAAAACTAATTTTCTTCAAAAGGTTCACTTTAAAACTAGGAGAAAAGGATCCTGGAGTAAGCACCCCAGTTGGACCTATAGAAACAGGCCTACAAAGACCTTTGGTAACTTGGTTCTGGAGTATAAAGAAGCTTAGTATTCTTATTCAGTCACTCACCTGTGCTTCTCTAGCTCATTGTGGACAGACCTGCAAAGAAAAAAAAAAAAAATACATCAGTTAATGGTTACATACACCTACAAGTACTGCCATAACACAGGCCAACCCCTGGACTTTGGGACTTCAAACTTACAAACCTTTCAATGATCAGTAAATGCAGTAAGACAGAGGGCCGAAATCCCTAATTGGTTAAACAAAAGCTATAATAAATCTCAAGATAAACTTTTTACCAGGGGTCTTTCCAGCTTTGTTGGTAAAGTTACACAGCTATTACCAGGACATCAATGATGTACTGTAAGGAACAAAAACAATGCAGAAAGTTCAAGCTGAAATTAAAGATGCAAGCTTTCCATTTACCATGGATAAGGCCTAATAACATGTCATACATTTTAGAAACCCTATACCAAATATGGAGGAAAATGTGTACTTTATAGCCATATTTTACACGTATTTCCAGGTTTCTAAGCATGTACACAGAGAGGGTTTGAAATCCTTGTTACAGTTTGTGGTTGTCCTTCCATCTCTCAGATACGGTATACAAATGTTGCTCCTCTACTCTATGCAGACATAATTCAATAATTCCTTCATCACTGTTCCTTATTCAATAAACAGTGCAGGTCACTGAGAACCAGGCTTTGGTTGTTCCTAGCTCACGGTTTTTAGCACCAAAAATAAGTTAGAACAAAAGTGTTAAAGTGACATTAAAAGGCAAGTGATGCCTCGTGATCCGAACAGCTTTTAGCTTCCACTCGTTTTCTAAAGTCCCTCCAGCACTGGTGCTGGTCTCTGATCCGCCGCAGACTCCTCTTTCTTCCTGTCCCACGGAGTCTGTCAGACGTGAGCGCTCCCTGCTGCGTCCATCCAACTTCAGCGTTGCTCTCCTACTCTTCCAACGATCTAGACTGCACATGCGCCCGCCCATTCGTCCTTCACAGCATTTAGGAGCTGGGACTTCTGCTTTTTTTTAATGATGGGGCATATATCTCTTGCCTACTAGCAGTAGATATATGCCAGAAAAACTTGACTTTAATACTACTTTAACCTAAGTCCCCCAAGAACCCTATCCTTCACCCAAAACCTCAAACACCTAACCTCTAATATTAACCCTAAGCCGTGCTTTGGCACTAACCCTTCAAACCTAAAGTATAACTAAACCTTATTTTTCCCTTTCATGCTATAAACTGTCCAAAGCCAACTTGCCGTAGTTTATTTCAAATTTTTTATTTTCTTTTTTTTGTAATTCTCTAATACTTACATTTTTGGATTCTATCCGTGTAGATGAATGTCCCTCTCTGATGCCTTGTGCTTCCAGTGGACTCCAGACTGTAAATTCTGGTGTGCTGATATCAGCCTGGAGTCCACAATGAGGGTGCATCCTAAGAAACCTAGGAATCATCCCAAGATGAAAACACTGCTCCCACATACGGAGCTCCTTAGAGAGTGTTGTAATTCTAGGAGTGCAAAGTAGCAGGATCACTAGGTAAAAAAGATGAGCACTGAAGAAACAAAGCAACAAACATTGATGCCACTGACACCAGCAGAGGGTAGGCAACTTCATTTTCAATTTTAGTTATCTTTAAGTAAATATATTTTACTATTTTTATTTTACTATTGCTTAGGTTCATGGTAATAGATTTTTTGTAATAGATTTTCTGTAATTATTTCATCCACTTTTTTTCTCTACTTTTCATTAAAACGACGTTTAAAAATTGTTACGCTGAATATCTGAGTGCTCAAACTAGAAAGTAAAGACATTTTGCCTCTGTAAATAAGCTACCATAGTGTAAACTCTTACTTTCCTTACCCCTGTCTGGGTGAGGCAGCGAGTGATACAGACTTTGTTAAAGGTCAGAATTGCAAGAGCAGATGTGAACAGCACATGTTTCCTTTAAAACACATGGTGGCAATCACTGTATGTGGGTAAAGGGTTAACTGTTCAGTTAACCTGCCATCTCAGGCTGCTGGCCCTTAGATTGTTGCCCCACCAGCTTGAAAAGATCTGCACAGGATGAGGCCAAGAGCAAAATGGTCACAACCTGCACTTAACTTATTCAGAGTGAGACCAATCTCTGCTGAAAACACACTCTCCTGCACCCAGAACCACTGAGATGTCTGAGGCTAGACCACTACAGAATGTATACTGATCGCTATGTGTACTGCAATTGATTCTTGAACACTTTTAGCTGCTCTCCCACTGCATGCTTACATTTACAATCGTGATTTTTAAAGTTCTCGGATCTAAAACAAATTCCTGCTTTTTAATTAGTTCATAGTTCTTCTCTAAATCTATCCTCTAATCTGTTTGTGAGAACTACTTCATTAGCTATTAATGTCCCAAATCTAATCATTGTATATGTGGGTATAAACATGGAGCAACTGGCACTTGTTTGTAACACTAAATCAGTACACAAGCACCCACAGGGGTATCTGATTTTCTGTGCTAAAATGAACAAGGACTGCATCCTAATATATTCCTGACTCAGGCCAGAGACAAAAACATAGGAGTACAAGGGACTGTTTGGCTTCATCACCCTCTGCCCGATTAAACAAGACCCACAACATGGTGGTTTTAAACAGCAGGCTCACCTAACACTGTCTGGATTGCTGTTTGTTCTCTGTCGTTTTCTTCTCCCAGGGGTGGCAGTGTTGCAAGGCAATATGGAGGCATATCCATGTTCAGCTTCTGCAAGAAAGGAAAGGCGTTCAGTCATTTCGTTCAGTTCAGTCATTTCGTATAACGTAGACTAAATCTATATGTCGAATTTTCAGGTGTGTGATAAGTGTCTGAAAGTAAAGTCTTTATGTTGCACATAGCAACCAGACTACAACGGTTTAATACTGCATGCTGGAAAATTATAAAAAAAAAAAAGAAGACCAGTGGTTTGGCCAAACTGGTTTCCTATAGGGATGCACGTATACAATTTTTTCCAGACCTTTCCTCAATTACTCGCCGATACAATTAGCGATACTTTTGTTTTTTTTAGTGTCATGTGACAATTTTTCTTAAATAATACAGACTAATAATTTTAGGACAGTGGTGAAGTGTCAGGGCCCAGTCACAGCTGCAACCAATGCGACCATGGTAGTGCTACCAATGTCTCCAAGCCATGGGGGGACTACAAATCTTAGCAATACATTATTCAACAATGCAGAATACCATCAGCTAAAGAAGATTACAAATCCCAGCAATAAGTTATACATCAACACAGCGTAATATGAAGCTACATACTCTGTGCTGCTCTAGGGTGCCAGCCTGTCTCCAGTGGAAGATCCCAGGTGGCTGTGTGGGGTCTATGGTGGGCTGTTCGGACTCTCAGGTGGCTATGCAGGCTCTATGTTGGGCTACGTGGCTCTCAGGTGGCTGTGCAAAGTTAATGTTAGGCTGTGTGGTCTCACCCCGTCTCCCGTTCAGTCACGGCAGGTGCGGGCAGTGTGGAGGAGGAGGAGATTTTGGCAGGCGCCGCTGTTCACAGGAAGGCTGCTGGGACCCAGCTGGGGACCTCGGCAGCCTTCCTGTGTGTACAGCAGCGCTTCTTAACCTTTCTTCAGCCACGGCACACTTTAAAAGTATGCAAAATCTCAAGGCACCCCAATCTATGTAAAAAAAAAAGTTTCCTCCAAAATCTATACCAGATCTTTATCTTAGATAGGGGTGTGGTATGAATTTTAAGGGGGGCCTTATGCAAAATAAATAAATATGAAGCCCCCCTTTGACAGCAGTAGCCCCCAGAGGTCCTAGAAGCATTTCCATGGTGATGGTTGTGGGCTCATCTGTACTATGGCAATGCATGACACTGTGAAAATTTGAAGGCACCCCTGACAAAGCCAGAAAGCACCCTTGTTGAGAAAGGCAAGTGTAGAGTACTATGCATTATTCACTTTTTGCCTGATGAAGGAACCTTGTGCAGTTTCCTCTGATATGCTGCAAGAACGTCAATAAAGATGAAGTTCTAAAGCAAGAGGTGTGCTGACGACATATTTTCCTTATCCGATGCTGATAACTGTAGACAGCAGAGTGACAGAGATGAGCTCACCAGTGTGTTGCCTTTCATTTCACTGCCCAGGCCCAAGCCTGGGGGAGGGACCAGACCTGCAAGTGTTACATAACTACAACAAACAAAAATTTTTTTTTTTAAATATCAGGATTTCTGCCCTGCCAGAGCTGTACAAGCCTCAGAACTGGATAGGTAGAAATACAAATCCTCTGACAGGTAACAAAGCTCCCATATATGCATTCCATCTGTGTGTTTAGCAAGGAGTTGAGCTTTAAAAGGAGAACTATGGGGTCAGTGTTTTCCCCCATAGTTCTCCTTAGGGTAATGGGAGGACACAAACTTGCGTCCTCCCGTTACCCTAAGCTCAGTATACCGCAAGCTACAGCTCGCGGTATACTGAGACGCCACAGCCGGAGCGGATTCCGACGTAGATGACGGGATCCCCCCAGCTGCGTGAGTGACAGCTGGCTCTGCCTATCTAGAGGCAGAGCCAGCTGTACCCGCCCCCTCCCCCGTCCGTTCCGCCAGTCAGCGCTGGCAGATCAGAGCGGGGAGAGGGGAATCCAGCCCTCCCCCTGTCACGGCAGAGAGCCGTGACAGGATCGAGAGGTGAGCGAACGCCGGTATGTGTTCGCTCACCTCCCGATCTACTGAGCCGACCTGTGACAGTCTCACTGTCACAGGTCGGCTAGAACTATGAGGTGAGTGAAAAGCACTCACCTCATAGTTCTCCTTTAATGGATAGTATTTGCAGATGTTTATAAAGTACTTTTGAAGGCTCTAGACAACAACATTTGAACACTATATGCAATCAGATGGAGCAGCATTCACTTGCATTGCACAGTGTTTTCTTTTATAAACAAGGTACAGGGAATACAATTTAGAATAAAGTATTGTAAACATCTCAAAAATACATGCCAGTTCCCTGCCCTTATGGCGCTTACAATCTAAGGTCCCTATCACACATGCATATACGAGGGACAATTTACCTACCAGTGTGAGAGGAAACCTACCTGGAGGAGACCCACACAAGCACAGGAAGAACATGTAAACTCCTTGCACATAGTGTCCTAACCAGGATTTGGGCAAGCGACCCCCAGTGCTCCAAGGCAGAAGCGCTAACCACTACACCACTGTGCCACCCACCCTGAGGTTTTAGCCACAGCAATGTGGTTTCTGCACAGTTAAGAAAAGTAAACAGTTTATTGGTTAGAAAAAGCAATGTAACAGTTTTCCAGAATGCGTCATTTGGTATCGTTGAAACAAATGGAGGAACACAGCAGTAGAAGACAGTCAGGAGTTGTAGAAATAAGGCACAGTAGCAGTTAGAAGCTCTGCAGAAGAGAATGTAATGACTGGATGAGTGGGAGGGTGGATACAGAACACACAAAGAAAGCTGACGAAGGAGTGCGTCCCAGAAGTCAGAGGGAGGAGTGACAGGACGGTCTCCAAACAGACATAAACAAGGATATGTTTTGCAGAGGAGCACAGTGTTAGACTATGCAGGGGAACGGCCTTTTGGGTATAAAAGATCAGACTCTAGTGGGCCTCAAGTGCTTAATAAAAATATCAGGCTATACATGGGTTAAGACCAGAGCACCGACACCAGAAGTGCTCATTACGCTTGCAGAGATTCTCATACATGTCGTGAAGGCAGGAAACAGCAGGATTGTTTTGTTTTTTATGCACCATAAAAAAAAGGGCTGCTGATCAGATCCACACATATGACAACCTGCTCTCCAATAACAAGAACTTCTGACAGGCATTTGTTATGGTTTTGGTGCTTCTACTGATACTAATAGCAAAACATGGATCAAACTAGCTGCACTGCTTGTGCATATTAGGCTACATGGCCTGTACTATCCATTGCAACCAATCAGGTTCTTGTTTTTAGGATTGCAGTTCTTGAAAGGGAGTGTCTGATTGGATAAACAAGCAATGGTCGAATTGGCTGTACTGCTTGTCCATATTAGGCCTGTGCTAGTCATTACAACCAATCAGGTTCTTGTTTTTATGATAAGAATGCTTAGAAAGGAGTACCTGATTGGTTGCTACGGCCAAAGCAGCTACACACTTGAGACCCATTACTTGATCCAATACGGAATGGGGGTAAATGAACCGTGCAGCTTACCCCGCTCTCTTCTCTCCACGTACTCGGCTGCCTGGAGCAGGACCTGAAGGTTGCTGGGCAGCTGCTCCATGCTGGGCCCTGGATGTCTGTGTCAGTGAAGGGTTGTGTCCTCTCCAAGGGGGGGGGGGTCAGAGCTGTCACTTGGGAGTCCGTGGGGCCGCCCGCTGTCTGTCAGCCCGCAGTGGAACTATTATTTCCCTACACAATACATGTAACTGACACCGAGCAGCCGCGCAGCCCCGCCCCGGACACGCCCACTGCTCACACCCCCACTCCGGCCGTTGCCGAGCCGCTACGTGTAAAACCGTACAGCCCGCTGCTCTCATCCCCCGACCCGCCCGGACTCAGTCCCGTCTGTTCGCCGGTGTCTGTCGGTGAGGCACAGCTGAGCCCTCTGTTTCCATGGAGCTTCCTGAAACGGGCGGAGACTACGGGGGCGGCCCCTGATTCGGCACTGGACACTTAAGGGCGTGGCCAGACGTCACTCCAGATGGCAACAGAATTAGGCGGGAATGAAGAATTCTTTCAAATTTCAAAACATCCATTTCAGGGAGAATAGTGACACAGAACTGCAGATCTGTTTAGCTGCTTGTACTAAGAACAGATTCCATGTGATAAACACATTATACAGGATACACACTAAGTGCTGGAAGCAGTACTAGGGTTGCCACCTTTTCTTCAAGCAAAACCCGAACACTCTAGCAACGCGTGGATATTTTTTTTGGGAGAATGAGCCACGGCTTATTCATATGTGTATATAGTGCCATCCATTCATATGTAAATATCACAGTTGGGACTATTTTCAGTAGGGGGCCAGTAGTCCCTATCGTAATTTTGGTTGCCCCTGTCTGCCTGGCATCTTGTGTCCGGGTTTCTGCTGGCATGAAACCTGGACAAAGCATTCAAAACCCGGACTGTCCGGGTGAATCCTGGACAGGTGGCAACCCTAGGCAGTACACTCTTGTGGGAATTCATTAAAAAGTGTATGAGACAAATTCTAACTCAACTGGTTCAGTTGTCCACAGCAACCAATCGGCTTCTAGCTTCCATTTTTTCCACACAGTTTACAAAATGAAAACTTAAAGGTTGACTGACACTCCAACTGAGACAAAATTTGCCTCAGACACGCTTTATTCATTCCTCCCTATGCCGATTGAGTTTCTGTATGGATGCTAGAATTTGTTTGTACTTGTTTTGATAACAAGTATCCACTAATTTAGATATACTTCAGTGTTGAAAAAATACCTTAAGGCAAAATATCTCTTTCCTTTTGCAAAGAGTAGGAAATGGTAAAGCCCCTTTTACATGTTTTTTATTTTCCATCTGTCTCCACTTCCTGAAAGTGAGGGAAAATCCCCTCACAGGGCAAGTGTTACCATTGGAAGACTTCTCCTCTTCCTTTTCTGGTGACCATCATTTCTGATTTTCCCTCACTTTCTGTCCTGGTAACAAAGATCAATAGGACACGTAGGCTGATTTATAAATCTTCTACCCAGCGTATGTAGCTGTGAGGATGCCGTTCTCATGACACTCGCGCCACTAGATAGAGCCAAGGAGCATAGGAATTTCCAATATGCCTCTGTGCCATTCACCCAGCTATAGTGTGGGCGGAAAATTTATAAATCAGTCCTATAGAGCAGCGTTTTCCAACGTTTATTCAGTAACACCAGTCTAGAGTGTAATGGATTTTAACCCTTCCTGCCCAGGCTATTTTTTACTATTCAGCGCTGAGGTACTTTGACTGACATTTATTCTGTCATGCAATGCTGTACTGAAATGAATTTTAAAACATTTTTGTGGACAGATAGGAGCTTTCTTTTAGTGGTATTTAAAATTGTGCGCACAAGCAAATTCACAAAAAACTACCACACCCAAAATTGACCATAGGCGACGCTTTAAAAGCTTTTCCCGCTCACCAGTTTAGTGTTATCAGTGATTGATGGCCCTAGAATTATTGCTCTCATTCCAACATTCGCTGTGATAAGCAACAATTTTTGTATGTGTGACAATTTTTTTTTTTGCCACTCATTTTTTTCCCCTTAACTTTATTGTTATAATTTAGGGGGCTAAGAATTCCCCTATGCGATAGCAAAGGGGATGTGAAAGGTCCTCTTTATGGAGACATCAGGGGTCTCCAAGACCCCACCTGTCACCTAGGGACCCCCAAAGAAGCTGATGAACCAGAGATTTGCTTCATCAGCTTCTCTCCAGCTTCTGAAGCTGGAGAGTGACAGCAGAATACGGAAATGATGTAATATACATCACTTGCGCATTCTGACACCAGAGAGGGGATTGTGTGCTGATCTCCCTCTGTTTTCCCTGTCACAGAGCCGCTGTGCTGGTCCCGGGCCACACCGGGGACAGCGGAGCTAGGGTCCGGAGGGGGCCTCATACAAGCTATCCAGCGGCTCTATAGAGTGGGCAGGCCTAACAGGCCGTCTTTAGACACCCAGTTACATCCAAGAAGCTCCCGGACGGCTAACTACAACGGTCTGGAGGCAGTTAAAAGGGGGCCCCGTGCAATTACAAAAAAAGAGTACCCCACTTTCACATCAAAGTACCCCTTCACATCCTTTTATATTGGAGGCCCCCTCTCACAATAGGAGCCCCCCTTAACATCAGAACCCCCACTTCACATCAGGGAGATTTCGAGGCACCCTAGTTGAGAACGGTTGCTATAAGGTGATTCTCCCCAGTGAGGACACAGACACCACTGATATGGGTTCTAAAGGCTCATGCACACAGGTACTGTATATAATACGATGCGAGTAGTTTTATACAGCTCTGATTCTCTGAACGTAGCAGTATTGTATGCTAGCAACCCATTCACTCAGCTGCGTTTTGGTCCATAGCCTTTACCTGCATAAATCCAGAAAAATCTGCATCCATGGACTTCCCTCGGGGTTCACGGAAACAAACAAATCCCTATTAGAACCTTTATCAGCTATAACAAGCCTTCTATGACCCCTTTGTGGTTAACTCGCCTTATATCTCATGTCTGACACTCAAATCACTCGGAAAGGAAATCTCAAATATGGGGACACAGACCATAATATAAACCTGACCAGGGTTATAATTCATCACCTTTCAAATTCTGATGACACTGATGGCTATAGTCTAATAGAAACTTCTCAAGTTGTAGGTTCTAGTAACCCTTTTACTGCCAGTGACGTAAGGGTTATAGTGGAGTAGAACTGCTTGCAGCAGTCCAGCTCTATAACCCCTACATCGGATGCATATTCTAAAGTCATAAAGCTCACGATTGCCTCAGCAGGTAACTTATGTGCAGGTGGTTCCCTTTCCCACCAGTTACATCCACAAAGTGTGTAAACGTGGCAGCTGCTGCTTCTGGTTCTGTGAATGCGATCTGGCAGGCAAATGGCTGCTGATCACTTCCACAAGGCTTCAGAAAGTGTCCCTGCGCATCTCACAGTTCGGCGCCTGTCCACATTAGATCCTTGGTGGTACAGACACTGGTCTGCGCCTCTGTTCTCTTTCCAGGCTCACTGATTGCTTTTGTGAACAGTGTGCTTGCAGTCTCCCTAGTCTGTGGATGTGTTTCAAACTGCAAACTGCTCACATCCACAAGTCTTGTGGCCGGGGCCCCCTACTGTGCAGCCCCTGTCAGTCCTTTCCTTTCACTGCTCTCCACGGTAGCCCCATTGCTGGTCCATATTACCTACAAGTATCATAGCTGCCACCAGAGACGAGACCAGCTCCGTGCCGGACACATCATGTTTTTCTCTGATGAGTTAGTATCAGAAAGTGTCTCCATTCATTTTCCCCTACCCGCTGCATTCTTGGTTCTCAACTGGTGGGTCGTGACCTAAAAGTGGGTCGCGACCCCGTGTTAAGTGCGTCACTGCATGCCTTCCACTTTTCTAGGCGAGGCTGCTCAGCCTCCCCCTAGCACAGCAATGTCAGTTCTCACAACAAGCAGCCATCCAAAATATGCTGGCCGGCGCAGAGTGTCAGCTTAACATGGGTGGGCTGGGGGTATGGCCGCGAGGGAGCTCCATCCATACATGCATTGCTTACAACTCCCTCACTTGTCCTGTGGAGGTGCCTAGACTGGAGTGACATCACATTCTGGGTCCCAAAACCTCTACAGAGCACACAAGGGAGCTGTACAAGCAACGTATATATGGTTGGAGCCACAGCACAGCAGCCCAAACTGGACCCCAGGCTGAGGATCCACTCCAGTTCTCATAAGATAGGGAGACTTGATGGTGATCCACTCTGGCTGAGGATCCACTCCAGTTCTCATAAGATAGGGAGACTGAGGGATTTTTGAAAAAATAAGTAAAATAACACATTTTTTGGAGTCTGTATGTGCGTGAGAATATGTGGGTGTGTGAGATTGTGTCTGTGGTTGTGTATGTATGCGAGTGTTTTTGAGGGCCCATTTCCGTGCGATTAACGCACCTTACCATGGCACACCAGAGTGCATTCCAGTGCGGAACAATTTGGGTCATGACTTAATGACCAAGGACAAATGTGGGTCCTGAGGTTACACAGGTTAAGAACCACTGCTCTACATGGTCTAAATACAATGAACCTCACCTAATCTAAACGTACATCAGGTAGACGCACATCCAACTGCCCTCTATTGTACATTTGGACACCATAAACTGTTCTGAATATTTCTGGTCACAAAACGGTTACCACTTTTGCACAGACTTTCTTTATCAGTTATGAGTAAAAGGAGTATTCAGAAGACGCAATGCCCATCTATAGCTATTGTAATTCCTTTAAAAATAAATAAAACACTTTTCAGGGCTATGTCCACAGGCTTTCAGGTTGTGTTGATGGCATCAGTTTGAGATGCTTCTGACATCATTCAGATTTCATTGATAAGTGTAGTTAACCTCCTTCTTCCATGCTTCACTTGGGTTTTACATTCCCATATACTTGTATGGGAATGCAAAACACATCTGAAGGGAACAAAAGCCCTCCAACACAGGCACTAAAAGGGTAAAATAATTTCCTTCAGGTTTCCTATGAGGTATTATCAGAAGGTGTGCAATCGATTCCATGGACTCTTGTAGCAGGTGACACCCATTTGCTACAGAACCCAAGATCAGATAACCTTATCCAGTTAACCAAATTATACCCAGATAACCGGTTATCCAGTAATACAAATGAGGAAATGCAGTAACACTCTATACATATAGAGGTAACCTATAAAAATTAGGATGTGCTGGACACAAATCCTCGGACCAGTGTTTCTTAACCAGGGTGCCTTCTGGCTCCATTAGGGGGCACCTTGAAATGCTTGCACAGTGTAATGACTTTTCATGGGTATGCTCATGTGGCTCCTGTGAGGTAGGATTCGGATATGAAGGGAGGGAATGAGGACCAATGTAAAAGGGAGCTTCTGATGCAAAGGGGGCTTCTGATGTGAAAAGACAGGGCGCTCTCATGTCAAAGGGGCCTACTAGTGTGAGATGTGGGGCGGCAAATTTGATGTGAAAGGAGGGGGCTCCTAATGTGAAGTGGGCTCCCAATGTAAAGGTGGACTCTGATATAAAAAGGGGGATTCTGCTGTGAAAATAATGTGGTCCCCTTTAAAATCTACTACATTTTAGACTGCGGTGACTTTTAGACAGTCAAAACGGAACTGCATATAAGCCTATTGGCTTTGGTCCTGTAGCTCTCCACAAAGTGTGCCCCACCCAGAGGTAGAGGTAACCCAACTTGAGAAGTCTACGTATAGCTGAGCCACAAGGAGTGCCAAACAACTCTTTCAGGCCCCGTTCACATTGAGCGATTTATCGTGCGGTAATTCTCGCGACATCGCAGCAATTTACTGCGCGATATTGCTCTCCAATGCTTCTCAATGGGGCAAAGGGTCCTGCTGTCGCGGATCGTGTGTCGCTACAGCAGGACCTTTTTTGGAGCGGATTTAGCCGCGATTCAAGCTTGCTCAATGCAAGCATTTGCGCGATATCGCGCAAAATGCAAATCGCGCGACAAACGCGCGATTTGCGAACCGCTCAATGTGAACGGGGCCTCAGGCTACACACGTTTAGACTCAGGGCTGCAAAGCACCAACACTGACCACCACCACCATACTGAAAAGGATTTGAAAACATTTTTAATTCTAGCATTCACCTGTGGAATAATCACAACGATAAACAGTTTTAAAAAGAATACAATTTTATTGAGCTATAAAATTGTTAAAAAGGCAACTTTTTGCCCTGTACACTGTTAGGCAGATTGTGTATACCATAACCCCTGAGAGATAAAAGCTCTAGTTCAAGACACAGTCAGTAATAGTCTTTACAATTGTCTTTACAAAAATAAACTTGCTGTAGTAACTCATTTTCTCTAAAAGGCGAGAATTAAACCAGCCCTCCCCCTTTTTAAACTAAATCTTCAAGTTCTGAACATGTGCCTCTATTAAATATGAAATCCTTGTCATAGTAGCAATAGTGGCAAGACTATACAAAATGTCTGAAGAGACCAGAAGGAGCACAGACCTAATGCTGTGAAAATAATCGTTCAGAAACTAAAGATTAACCCATTGTTGACAACCCTCTCCATTTGCAGCACAAAAAAATGAATTTACATATAATGGGATCATCAACATGAGGTTCTTCTCAAGCTACAGCTCCCGTATATTGTAGGCCTAAAATCAACGTCGGATAACCTGAACAGATGCTCTTAACAAGGCTTGTGAAGTCCCAATCTCAAAATATAGATTTTTGGAAATACAATAATTGCACAGAAAATTCCAGTCCAAAATCCCTGTAAATAAAATCAGACATCTGTACACATCTGCCCACAAGTGTGGTAGAAGCAATGTAATGTAAACTTATACTCAAGCTGCTAGATATAGCAACAGCATAGGATCAAGATAATTATCTTTAGTAACATACTAAAAATATCATCCCTAAAAGAAGACAGAATAAAGTAGACTAGATACAGAAAAATCATTGAATGACGCAAATGGTCTTCGGATGCAACGTATACAAGTTTCCTCAACTATCTTAGATATCATCAATGTATCTGAGGGAGGACTTTTCATGTTACCTATAGGAACCAGTCACATTTCTCCTTTAGCTCTATCATACGCTGACAACAGAAGGAGAATACAGTTTCACAGACAATTTTTCCCTCATCTACACGGCTTGATAAGGTTGTTTTCATCTGCATAGGTCAGTTATTTATCTTTAGATTCAAATATTATCAAACAATAAATGTTGGCAAACATATCTACATACATGTGTATTACCGGAATCTTTCATATGTACCTACATTATAGATCCTAAAGTGTAACTAATGTAAGTTATTTTGGGTTATATCTGGTATAGAGCAGGTAAAGGTTAGGACCTCTCCTGAGGAGATTTCCCCTTATTTCCTGCCCCAGCAACCACTGTCTTTGACACACAGCAGGCAGGGCCAGATTTACTCTCTCTGCTGCCGCAATGCCAGGTTCCTCAATGTGCCCCCCTGTATGCAGGCTGCATACAAGTGATCCCGGCGACATCGCCGAGATCACTTGTACAAAACAAGCGGCAGGTTCCCTGCTGTACATTTAGCCCTGCGTGCCCAAAGCAGGGCTAAATGTAGAAAACAACTGCATGTCCGGGGCGTCGGGAGATAGGAATTCCACACCGCTGCTGCCCCCGAGGCCAGGCCTCGATTGGACTTGTGGGAAATCCGGCCCTGACAGCAGTACAAACCTGACAGACGTTTCCCATGCAGCTGGGTATTTTTATTGTTTTCGGTGTCCCCATTCTAGAGTTTTTCACTTGACATCCTGTCTCTGTCACCTTTTTTTACTAGGGCAGAAAGGAAGACCAATCATAAATGGGGCACAGATGACAAAAAAAGCCAGTTTCCAAGCCTTTCCAGCATTGAGAATAAAAGAAAAAAAAAATGGTCACATTAATTAAAAAAAAAAAAAAAAAAAAAAAAAAAAAATTTTAAAAAAAAAAAAAAAAAAAAAAAAACAGATTTATAATGATAGCTAAAAAATAAATAGATAAAAGGATTTCACCCCACTTTAAAAGCATACATCAAAGCTCTGGGGGTGTTAAAGGACTTGCAGCAATATTTTGCTACTTGGGTAGGATGTAAAAAGAAACAATCCCATCTGTGTGGTTATAGTCCCAGATACATGAGCAGCACAGAAGGAAACAACATGTATGTAGAGGAGGTTGTCATTGAAATGTGCTTTAAAACCACTTTCTTGCAGCCTCTCTGCCGGCGTCAGGATAGGTGCGGAGATGTGTCTTCTGTGACCCGATCTTGAGGACTGCAGTGCACATGATAGCAATGAGAGCAAACGCGAACAGGCTGAGCATTGTCAATATGAGGCAGTAAGGATGAATAACCTGAGCAGCGGGAACAGAATATCTGAATGGAGGAAAAACGGAAATACAGGATGAAAGTCTATAAATAACAACGTCTAAAACATCCTTTGATGCACATACATTTTAACTAGGGATGCCCCGATACCAAGTACAGTACTCGGTACAAGTACAGATACTTTTTCAGCTCCAAGACTAGACTAGAGAAAAATGCAAAAATTAGGAGGCAGCAGTCATTTTGTGAGGAGCACACGGAGCTCCTGGGATTTGTACATCTCTGTTTTAATGTACGATTTTGTTTTATAAATATAAATAAAGGGATGCACAGATACCAGTTTTGCGAGTACTGGTACTTGCCGAGTACTTACAAGTACTGATACATTTTTGTTTATTGTCATGTGACAGTTTTTCTAAAACAATATTGACTAATGATTTCAGGACAGTGGTGGAGCACTAGAGCCAGGTCCCAGCTGCAACCCTGGCAGTTCTCATGAAAATGCCAAATATCGGCATTGGTACTCGAGCATCAGTGCATCCCTAATTTTAACCTTGAGAGCGCAATACAACAACATGACACTTCCTGTGTACCAAGATACAAAATGAAAACAGACTTCAATACTGTCACTGAGCTGGAGCAATTATGTAGGTCAGGTGTCTTGACTTCACTGGCTGCATACTTGTTCTGGGTCAGGGAAGCACAAAGTATTAAAGCTAAAGACAGGCAACTAGCATTTCAGAAAGCCCTTCCTAAGGGCATCCAGCATATTTCTCTTAGTGAAACTTTCCCTTAAAACGGAACTCCAGGCACACATTTTATTAACCCTTGCAAGAGTTAAGCACTCGTTTTGGTCTAGGGTGGAAAGTAAAGATTTACTCACCTGATGTCCAGCTGTGAGAGCGCTCCCTCCAGCCTGCCTCCTCCTACGCTACAGCATTACAATGTCCTTCGGTGTCTTCACATCTATACACGGTGAATAGAATGTGATGGTTTTTGGGACCTTAGACCGCAGCAGCAGAGGTGGAGAGAGGCTCAAGCGACTGGTCTAAACCTGGCCATACACCTATAGATTATCTGCAGATTTTCTATGGTCAGATGGAAAAAGTGCAACAGATTTCTCCATCTACGCTAAACTGAGTGGATAGAGGAATCTGCTGCTGGGCCAAGCTTCAGTATCTTGCTAGTTGGCCCCGCTAGCTGTCAAAATACCTGAACAATCTGATTGGATGCAGGCATTGTCCAGGTATTTTGAGAGCCAGCGGGGCAGACTACCAAGACACTGAAGCTTGGCCCAGGTGGAGATTCCTCCATCCACACAGTTAAGTGTAGATGGAGGAATCTATTGCATTTTCCAATCTGACCATTGAAAATCTGCAGATAATCTATAGGTATATGGCCAGATTAAAAGCAAGCTGGCTCAGAGGATCAGGTAAATATAAAAGTGTTATTTTCCTCTCTAGACCAAAACGAGCACTTAACCCTTGCAGTGCGTTGGTAGCCCCACTCCACCAGTTAATTCTTTTCCCCAGACTTTTTCTTTACAGTGTATCTAAAGCCAAAACCTTCTTTTTTTAAAATCAATTTTGGAGGGAGGGAGAGAGAGAGAGAGAGAGAGAGAGAGAGAGAGAGAGAAATACCCCTTTCACATTTGCTTCTCTTTTGTGCCTTGCGCCTTGTTTGGGAGATTTCCCTTCACTTTCTGTCATGTAGACACAACCGGTAGAGGAAATGATCCCAAAGCAAGGGGAATCCTCCTCTCACCAGAACAAGTATTGCCACCTTTGAATGGAAAATTTCTACAAAATTGTGGATTCTCTAGTGGGTCCACTGAGAATCCTGTGTGTTTGAGGTTCGTGGATCCATAAACTACTGTGAGAATTCACCATAGTAACCATCATGGCAACAAAATTGGAATATGCATCAGCACAGCAGCATTTAGTTTTTTTGGGAGAGTATTTGACAGCTTGATTTAGATAGCTGTATCACTGCACAAGAACTGCTTGGTCAGTGTGAGTGAAAGTTACAAGTGCATTTTCATTTTGTTGTGGGGTGCTATGAAGGGTAGATAACTGGTACCCAAGACTGTAGAGAAAAATACACTGATCAAATTCCATGGAAAGCATCTATCTTTATTATAGGCAAAACGGGAGCAAACATATGTACTCTTATTAAAATATATATACACAGGTCTTTACCTTTCCACAACTACGACAGTGATGCCGTCTACGTAAAAGTGTAAAGGGTGCACAGCAGCTCATGCATTGAGTACTGGCGCTGTCAGGAACCCATTCTGGAGTTACTAGAAAGAAAATAAAACAAACATGCATACAGTTAGTATAGATTTAGGGGACTGAAAAAGGAAGAAACAGGATGCAGCCTGTTTAACACGCTCTATGATTGGGACTTTGTTGGTGCAGGCTGACTGGAGAAAGGCAGTGTTAGTAAAGTAGCCTTTGGCACAAGGAGCCTGACATATCAGCACTTAGAATTGCACTGCACTAGGAAGCGGAACCTGTTTTTAAAAGAACTCAAATCATTAGGTTATAAGATCAATCCTTAAGAAAATGAAAAAAAACTTTAAATCTGACTAGTGCACCTGGTAGATGTAAAGCAATGCAATTATTTTGATCCTAGGAAGATGTGAAATTAATTCCACAAAAATAGAAAAAAGGTAAGTGGTACCAAAAGGTGCAATCTACCTGGAGGGTCAATATTAAACCATGCTTCATAAAAATCGATGTGGTCTCTTTGCCCTTGTGCCAGAAGGCAGCCATAACATGAGACAAATAGGGTAAATATAATTTAAACACTTTATAATCTATAATGTTTTTTCATGAATGTTGCTTTGAATATGCTTATCAATACACCACTGTTAGATCATACCCAGAGGAGCCCTACTGGCCTGCTGCTTCAGGTTCTGACAAACTGAACAGTCTGGCAATCGCGAGGCATCTTCAGCTGTTCCTAGGAAAAATAAACATGGAATCTAGGTCATTTTTCCCGCTTCCCTTCTCTCAAAAAGGCATTTCTACAGCTGTCACAAAAACTTCCCCTAGCAAAACACAGTTTTTGTGCAAGATCAACACACATCATAAATAAAATAAAAAAATATATGGATCACATGCTTTTCTCAAACACAATAGTTGCTCTTTAGGTCAACACCTCTGTGCGCTGGCTGTGGCAGCAATGATGTTCACTGTTTTATGTAGAGATGTTGAAGCTAAAGCCGTTACAAAAACGGAAGGGTGGTCAGACATGTATGCATGGTCTATCTGCAACCAAAACACAGTCTAATAGGTCCTTCAAAAACTTATCTCCTCCATGTTAATTTAAATTTGAAAGGACAGAAGAGTGCAAGAGCAGGAGGTAGTGCAGGAGAGAATGCTGGCACCAAGAGCAGACGGCTCAGAAGCTACCCATAGGAATAAACTTGCCACCTGAATTGGCCCTAAATGGCCATTTTGAGCAACTAACTCAAGTCGAAGGGTGCCTTAACATAACTGGTTTAGCAGAATAGCCCATTATAGAGATATTAGATATTAGAGAGAGATCGGACAGTCCTCTCTCTGTTCACCGCTCTGCCTTAGTTCTGTGACAGCGGCTCCGCCCCCTCCCCCCCACTCCAGTGTTTGTAAATAGCTGGGGGCACATAGTACTGTGTGTCCCCAGTTATAAATGAACAGGATGTGATTTACATCACTTCCTGTTCATTCATGAGTTTCTCAATGGGGAGAGGCACTCACTACAGAGGCTCCTCCCCATTCAGACATTCAGAAACTGCTAAATAGTAAAAATATTTTCTTAATGAATGGGAAGCCTCTGTGCTTTCCATTCATTTAGAACAACATTTTTGCGGATCGCACTGGCCTGGAACGCAGGCACTAATGTGCCTGGGTTCCGGGTGCAGGCGATCGCACTGTGGGCGAGGGGCCTGCCTGCAGTGCCATTGACCTCAATGCACCGCCACGCCCCTGACTTGTGGGCACCCCTGACTTAGAGCCAACGTGTGACACTACATGTAGCACATGGCCACTGTAAAGATCAAAAACTGAGCGATTGCAAACCGCTGATCACTCAGCTCACAGTCTTCTACATGCAGAGAGCATTTAGTGGCAGTCACCACTCACCGCAGGGATTTCCCCCTCCCCTCTCTATCCCTCCACTGCTCATTGGAGGGACAGACAGGGAGGGGGCAGGCACAGCTGGTTCTGGCTTTAGAGAGGCAGGGCCAGCTGTCAAACAGCGGGTGTATCCCAACAATATTGCTGCAACATAGCTTTGTGCTGTCAGAAGATAGTGGGCATTAGTTTGTGTCACAGTATGTGTCACATATTAGTAAATTTCCTTCTGTGAACCAAAAGAGAACTAAAGACGAAAAAATATTTGCCTTTAGTTCTCTTTTAATCAACTCCTTTACTCCTAACCCCACTTGCAGTGCAAAATTATATATATAGGAGACTTTAAAAGCACATTTGTTTATGCAAATAAAGTAACCACTTCATCCCTTCAGTCATAGATGTATACATACACCCAGACATCTATTATAAGTCACTTTACAAACTAGCAAAGAGAGATAGCATCAGTATAATTTCCTGAGTGTTTATAACAACTTACTTTCTTTGTCCTGCTGTTGCCTGGAACTCACAGCTTCAAACACTGTTTTTAGAATGACGCGCAAATCACTTGCAAAGTTGGTCTGTAGCTGGTCAGCAACACCTGTAGAGCACGGCATAGTCAACCAATGTCCCAGAGATGCATGCATAACATAGGCAAATACGGACACATTTAATAATGTTTAAAATGAGAACCAGGTGTTGCTTAATGGAAATATGACAGCCGATAGGTTAATCTGGGGCAACACAAACTGTTATTTCAAACATTCTATAAAACAAGGTCCATTGACTTACCAGCAATGCATACAAAGAGGCGGTGTAGCATGTCACTGTCACTGCGATACCGAGACCGCACATCATGGAATCTTGATCTTCTACATACAAGTCAAAATAATGAAAGGATTCAGCAACATAAGTTTGGATACAAATAAGTACAGTTGGCATACTGTACCTTAAATTGATTTTTAATATTCCTTACATAAGACCAGCAGTATTTGAACCGGTGCTGAGAGAACCCAATAGATTCTAGGGCATCGACTTAAAGAAGGACTCCAGGAAAATGTTGTATTAAAAGGAGAACTATGAGGTGAGTGCTTTCCACTCACCTCATAGTTCTAGCCGACCTGTGACAATGAGACTGTCACAGGTCGGCTCAGTAGATCGGGAGGTGAGCGAACACATACCGGCGTTCGCTCACCTCTCGATCCTGTCACGGCTCTCTGCTGCGACAGGGGAGGGGCTGGATTCCCCCCTCCCCGCTCCAATCCGCCAGCGCTGACTGGCGGAACGGACGGGGGAGGGGCGGGTACAGCTGGCTCTGCCTCTAGATAGGCAGAGCCAGCTGTCACTCACGCAGCTGGGGGGATCCCGGCACAATTGTCGGGATCCGCTTCAGCTGCGGCGTCTCAGTATACCGCGAGCAGCAGCTTGCGGTATAATGCGGCGTCTCAGTATACCGCGAGCTATTGCTCGCGTTATACTGCGACGTCTCAGTATACCGCGAGCTACAGCTTGCGGTATACTGAGCCTAGGGTGACGGGAGGACGCTAGTTTGTGTCCTCCAGTTACCCTGAGAACTACGGGGAAAAACCTTAACCCCATGGGTTCTCCTTTAACCCTTACAGTGGGGCTACCTCTACAATGCAAAGGTTAACTACTCGTTTTTGTCTAGGTTAAAAAGTTATACTCACCTGATGCTCTGCAACGGCTTGCTCTTAGACAGGTCCCTAGAGCCTCTCTCCCGTCTGCTGCAGCGGTCTAAGATCCCATAAATCATCACATACATACACTGTGTATAGGCTGTGCAGAGGAAGAGTCCAAAGCTGCAGCGGAAGAAGAGAGAGGCTGATGGGAGCACTGTGACAGCCGGCTGGCTTGGTGCTTTGAGTGAGTATATCTTTTTAGCACCTAGACACAAACAAGCACTTAGTCCTTGCAGTGTGGGGGTAGACCCACTGCAAGAGTTAAGAAAACTTATTCCTGTAGTTCTTCACTATAGGGTATTTAAATCCAAATTGCAAACATTTAATAGATTGCAGCTTACCAATCCTTAAATTTGGTGCTTCTATTAGTTTTCTCTTTTTAAGCTTTTTTTTACTTTATTTTCACCTGATGATCCGGCTAAGAAGTCTTATTTTTTAACTTCCATTAACAGACCAAGCTGTCCAGCAAAAGTGAAAGCTAGAGGGTTGAGACAAACCATTTAACACCGACAGGGATGCTCACAATGGTCAGCTTTTATTCACTTATTTAAAACCTTTATGACAAAACGATTATTAAAAACGGTTGCTATAACCGCTGGATAAGTGTTAGCAGGAGTTTGGATTTAAATTTGTTAGTCAAGTCCATTTAAAACTACCAGTGCATCTAACACGACCCACTCCACAGAATGACAATGCTGCTGTCCAAGTGTGGCTCAATTACTCCTCCATGTAGTTAAGTCACCCTAAAACTGGCCATACACCTATAGATTTTCTATGGTCAGATGAAAAAAGATTTCTCCATCTACGCTAAACCATGTAGATGGAGGAATCTCAGCTTCAGCATCTTGCTAGTCAGCTCCGCTGGCTCTCAAAACACCTGAACAACACCTGCATCCAAATCGGATTGTTCAGGTATTTTGACAGCCAGCGGGGCTGACTAGCAAGATTCTGAAGCTTGGCCCAGCGGGAGATTCCTCCAGCCATGCAGTTTAGCGTACACCACATCTAAGGATTGCCAAGCTGCAATATAATACATTTTTGTTGTTGTGCTTAGATTCATTCTAGCCACTCAGACACCACTTATTTTCCAACAATTTTCATGTCCTTACCACTCCATAGTAAAAAGTGTATACATTATCATTTGTGGTCATTGCATGATCATGGATTTAACAAAAGCACTAAAGCTGGGGCTATATTGTCAGAATTGCAGCCCAAAGGCCCAGGACACAATGGTCCATCAAGTCTCCCCATTCAGAGAAGCCATACAAAGGGGACTGAGGTGTATGGCATTATAAGATCGTTTACACGATTGTAAGCCGACAAGGATTTCTAAATGCTTATAGGCAAAGCACATATGTACATTTTTCTTATTCACCTCAAACTGTATCTCATATGCATATTGCGGAGTATATCTAATGGTTTTGCTGCATGATGGAGTTTAATATCCTGGTTTGTACTGTTGGTTTCTAACCCAATTGACTTGCTCTGAGAACTGAAGTCTGGATCACATTTTGCCATGTTACTCAATTCAGAAGTCTCTTGAGTTAATTCCATATCAGTTGTGCTTTGTGCAGTAGGAGTGGCTGTCTCTGGGTGTTGTGTCTGGCTGTCGAGGTGCAAGGAGTTGGAGTCCATAGGAGGCGGTAGACATGACGACAGGTGCACAGAAGGGTCCTCAGATGAAGCAGAGCACAGAGCGCGCTCAAGTGATTGCAACTCTTTCTCTGTTAGTATGCAGAGAAGTTCCCTAAAGAAGATATGGCACAAAATGTTAATACTGGGTCAAAGTGCTTCTATCATAGGTTACTATCAATAATATGGTAGGACGGAATTTTCTAGCACACAACACTGTGTGTGTGTGTGTGTGTGTGTATGTGTATACACACACACATTATATATATAT